CCCTGCTCTCTCTGGTCCCTCTACCCAGATCTTCACCCGGTCCTGCCACTACCTCCTGACCTGAGATCATACTGTCTATTCCCCACTTGTATGTCATCTGCTTTCCCCACTTCCGACGGGCAGTGTCTGCCTGCTTGCCCCTGTATCCCAGCATCTAGTACTCAGCCTGGCACACGGCAGGCACCAAAGACATGTTTCTTTGAATGAATGAATAAAGGAATCTTAGAAAAACTTCCCCCAAAATGGTCAGAATCAAAGCATAATACTTCCTATCAAACCTAGAACCACCTCAGCTGATTTCCATTTTGTCTCCTATCAATGGATTGCCAGGATTCTGGTAAATGATTTCAGATTACTTTGATATTCTTTTTTTTTTTTTTTTGGCAAGGTGACAAGCAAAATTTAACAAAGAGCAATATTTCAAATTCTGGTGTTGTTTAAAATGAGGAAGTGTATTTTCTGTACATTCTGTGGGTGGGGGTAATTTTCAAACTATGTCTGTTAAACATTCTCCCCTACACACACACGCGTGTGTGCTTTCTCAGACTGCTTGGTAGGGTTTCGGGAGGGTTTTTGCCTCATTTACTCACAATGTAACTCTTGCCAAAAGAGAACCAAGAAATTACCCGCCGCTCATCTCTGTCTACCTGTTGTTCTGAAGCACGCGGGAGGGGGCTGCGCTCCACAGAGAAGTGCTATTAGCTGGAATAATTGACGTCGCTGAGAGAGGGAGAGGGGAGGGCAGGAAGGCTGGCAGGGAGGGCTCACACCTGTCAAAACAGCAACCCCTTATAATTTCCCATTTTAACTCCACAGAAAAGGGAACAGGAGGGGACTACCCAGCACAACGATGGGAGATTCATTTTACCAGCCATCTGGGGAAATGCTTCTAATCCCTGAAAGCATTATTTTGAAAAGCAATTTGTGCGGTGATTTAATTTACTGCGGAAAAACCCAGAAAAGAACAGCAGCACTGAAAATAGCTGTGGAACCTATGCCGATGCCGGCTGCCTCCACAAAACCACGAAAGCAAGATTCTTTTCCAACACACCTGAAAAAACTGAAGCCTGTGCGTGATCAGGCTCATTAACACAGCCCAGGACAGTATTTTTAAAGTACAACATCACTGGCTGGTATCAAGACAATAAAATAATAGCCGTACCCACCGCCCCTTCTTGTATTCACTGACAGGATCAAAGGTTCAGTCACAGCTACGCGTTTGAAGCCTGTGTTTAACTCCCACCTGTCGTGTTGTCCAAAGAAACGGGCATCAACCTGCCCATCTTTATCCCTCAGAGCTTTCGCAGGCCAGAATGGAAACCCCTTCAGTTTTGCCCAAACCAAAGGATGTGGATTGCTCTAGGAAAAGAAAGACAAAATCCAGAGTTTGTATGTATTCGACAGCAAGATGCACACATAAAGCTCGGTGGGTGAGGTTAAGCTAAGGCAGAGTTGATACAGGCCACAGAATGAAAGCAAACAATTTCCAGCAGGGTCTCCCCAAGTGGCAGTCACTAGATGTGTGGCCATTCCCTGGGCAAGGCTGAGAATGGGATTAAATGGGGAAACCAAAAAGAAGTGAGCACTGACCAAAACGAGGCTTCAACTCTGGCTGTGCTGCTCTTGCCCGGGTGGGAGCGAACAAGAGACTGTACCTTTCTGGGCAACACAGGGACAGTTATACCTACACCCTCTGTTAAGCTGGAGGGTTAAAGGCACCTTACATCCAGCATATAATAAGGGACGGCATTAGCTAACTTTATTCTTTACCGAGAGCTACTCAGGGCCTTAACGATTCAGATGTCCATCCTGAAATGCAGGAAAAGACAAACTATGTTTTGGGTCTCAACTCTACTTGCCCAATCTTGCGGCCCACTACCCTCCCCCCCGCACCCCCAACCTCCCAGCTCACCCCAATGACACACTTCTCTGCAAAACATCAGTTTGGAAAATACAGATCCATGTGGACAACTGGGGTGACCTTCTCTCCCCACCCCAATCCCAGCCTCAAGAACCACAGTTTGGAGAGACCATGGAGTTAACCCTGGGAGGGATTTCCAAACCTCTTAAAATAGACCCAACATGATTTCTAAGTAACATACTCATTTAACACGACTTGGCTCATCATCTGCATGACTTTGGCATTTCTCTCCTCTCTGATGAGCTTCTTTTCACTCTGCATCCTGCCGTTTTCGAGGGCTAATAAACCCAGTAAATCGTGACGCTACCTCTGGCACATGACCTTTCAGCCAAAGAGGTTTATCCCACCTGGATTACTCCCATTCTGCCATAACTTAATTTTCAGTAAGAAAATTATTTTAAAACTTTATCCAAAGCTTCATCCAATAAGCCACCTGGAGAAAGCTGTCCTGGGTCACCCAAGGCATAGAGTTCAGAAAACAAAGAAAGGAAAGGAAATCCAACTTACACAAGGCTCACAAAACCAGTTATCTCGTTTTTGGCAAGCAGCTAGATAACACTCTGGACAAACTTCGATTTCATTCATCTGTAAAGCAAAAATGTGTTAGAATGTGTCATTCCCAGGGGTCTTGTATCTGCAGGCCCTCAAGAAATGCATGATATTGGCAGGTAAGATTAGCTAACCTAAGTCCCACAGTGGAGAACACCCTGGACATCAGTCCAACTATTTCTCACCAGCCCCGACTCGCCCACCTAGCCCCAGCTGCCATCCTCTCTCGCTGGACCATGTCTCCCAGCTTCCCAAGCTTGGTCCATTCCCCACACAGACAGAGCAGCCAGAGCCACCTTCTACAAACACAGGTCCCATCTGGTCCCTCTCCTTAGACCAGTGGTTCTCTACTGGGACAGTTTAACCCTCCCAGGGACACTTGGCATAACTGGAGATATTTTCTGTCATCGGTCATCACAACTGGGGGCGGACAGTTGAGACTGGAGTCTGTGATGGTACAAGGAGAGCTCCTGCAACAAAGATGTCTCTGGACTCAAATGTCAGTAGTGCCAAGGTTGAGAAACTAACGATGAAATCTAAACACCTGGTCAGGGCTTCCCTGGTGGCGCAGTGGTTGCGAATCCGCCTGCCAGTGCAGGGGACGTGGGTTCAAGCCCTGGTCCAGGAGGATCCCACATGCCATGGAGCAACTAAGCCCGTGTACCACAACTGCTGAGCCTGCGCTCTAGAGCCCACAAGCCACAACTACTGAGCCTGAGTGCCACAACTACTGAAGCCCACGCGCCTAGAGCCCGTGCTCCACAACAAAGGAAGCCACAGCAATGAGAAGCCGACGCGCCGCAAGGAAGAGTAGCCCCCGCTCGCCGCAACTAGAGAAAGCCCACGTGCAGCAACAAAGACCCAACGCAGCCAAAAATAAATAAATTTAGATAAATAAATAAGCACCTGGTCAGTTCCTTCAAGGCCATGCATGGTCTAGCCTCAGTCTACCTGTCTGAGCTCCCCAATCCCTTCCCTCGACTCTGGCCTCTGCTTGCCATGCTCAATTCTATATATCTCTAATCACACCATCCACAGCAATTAATTAATACCACGTTACTCTATTTTATTTCCACGGATAACTGAAAATTCTGTAACTGACCGTCCTCTCTCTTGAGAAAGTGCATTTCCCCCAGAGAATCGCCATGACTTAGAACTAAGGGCCTTGGAAGCTCGCTTCTTGGATCTAAATTCAGACTCCACTACATCCTAGCTCTAGAACTTTAGGAAAAATTGCTTATACTGTCTGAGCGTCCATTTCCTCACCTCATAGAATGGGGATGAAAGCAGTACCTACCAAACAGAATTATTATAAAAATTAGATGAGATAAATGTAAAGCACTTCAAGTGACAAGGTGCCAGACACATAGCAGGTGCTCAACTAATGATTATTAATTAATAATTTTATAGGAATTACTAATTATAATGGACTGACCGACTGAGGGCAATGAATAAATGAGTGAGTGAATGAATGAATGAGTGAATGGTGGACCATATTTCTTCCTTCTACCCACTCTCCTCTGGGCTATTCCAAAGGTACTGCGTAGAACAAAGCAACAACATCAAGTCCAGGACAGCCCTGGCATTGGAGCCCACAAAGCAGCACTGTGTTGCCAACAGGTAGGTTCAGAATGCCAGACAAAGAGCATCTGGGTTCAATAAATTCTACATTATGACAACCCACCAATTAAAGTCTAGGCTTCAGCACCTACATCAAGGGAAACGAATCCTCAAGGGGGAAACAACTGAACAACTCGCCCAGAGACAACTCCAAGTCGCCAACAAGCATAGCAAAAAACAGTCCATCACCACTTGGCATCAAAGAAATCAAAATCACAATCACAGTGAGATGCCACTGTTTTTCTACTGATCACACTGGGGCAAAAACATATATACAAACAGTTTTCAAACTGGAACTTCCAAGATTGCCAACGACACAGAAAAACCACCACATTTGTTCATTCCAGTTCATTGTATAAGTAGCGCTGTAGCCATTTCCAGAAAACAATCAAGAGATATCTACCCAAAGCCATGTTGATAGCCTAAGACCTCGTAGTTGCATTTCTAACAATTATACTAAGGAAATAAATCATCAGAACAGCCATGATGAATTCTATTCTTCCTCCATGTTTAATTACCTAGGAAAACACTCAGAGTGAAAAATGTACATTATAAAACTCTCTCTATACAAATATACAGACATGGACAATATCCTAAGATATCCAAATGTTTTCTTTACAAATGAACGGATGGATAGATGAGAGTACAGACAGGCTGAAGGCCATTACATCTCAGTTTTTTGTGCTCACAACAGGGATCTAACAAAGAAAGGCTCCCCTGTACCATTTCTGCCATCAGCCTGTCCTGTAACCACTAGAGCCTCAGGGCACCCAGCCCAGGAGCTTCATTTCATCCACACCATCAAAACTAGAGGGTATTTTTCCAGGACACCTGGGCCACTCTCAGAGAAACTCAGGACCGTTCCTGCAAATAATGTCAAAACCCAAATACCTTCTGCAAGAAGACTGAAAGGGACCTGAGGGGATGCCACAGATTGTGGGGCAAAGAAATCATAAACTCTATTTGACCCCGAAAACTCAGGATGTGCAGTGCTGGACCACGACTCAAGGTTGAAAAATCCCATCTCTCTTAGATCTAAGATTATGGGTGTTGATTTATAACATATTATGGCGTATCTGTTGCTTTTACTTTCCTTGAAGAGAGTGGCGCTATCTGTACCTCAACAAATTCCAAAATTACCAGAGATACCCACTGGGAGATTCCACAAATGGAAACTTCAATCACCCCCAAGCCTTCATTCTAGGTACACTTAAAAGGGGACAGTAGGAAACACATACCTCATGCTCGCAGATTTTGATGACTACTTTCGCTATTTGCGTCAATTTGTGATTTCCTGAGGGAGTAAGAAAACAGGATTAATTCAAATGGAAACACAGAAATACCCAGCCTTGGGATTATACCTCCACTTCCAACATTTTAACTTGCTTTCTTCCAGGATTAACCTTTTAAAGGTTAAAAAACATACATTTCTGGCTTCTAACATCAGTTCAGATTAGGTGACTTTTCCCATGAACCAATCTTTGGTGCTTAGATGTCATCTTCTCTGAAACATAACAATTTGTGTTGGTTTCCGACAGCTCATGAATTAATATTTGAAAGATGCTTTTATATTCTCAAGGCTCAAATTAGTGAAAAGGAGCCTTCTTCTGCCCATTGTCCCAGATGCCAACCCAAGAATAGTACAGGAGAAAGAAGACATTTAATTGAGTAACTCTACTGTTCCTGGTGCTTCGAAATACATTTTCTTAACTCTTCAAAAAGCCTTATTAGGAAGCAGGCATGAATGTTCTCATTTCACCAAAGAGTAAAACCAAGGCTCAGGAGTCATCACTTATATGAGACCATTTAGCTTACGAGTTGAGGATATGGCCCCAGGTCTAACTCTTAACCCTGAACCTTTACACTAAACCAGAGAACAAGATGGCCAAAAAGCCGTGTTTTCTTCGAACCTTATGACAATTTTTAGAAATTGTAAATTTGGTGGCAAAAAGATTTCACACGCACACACACAAATACCTAGATTTCTGGCCTGTCCTGAAAACTCAGAAGAGCTAAGAACTCTGTATCCAATAAACCACTAGAGTGTCCGGGGGAGATACCCCTCCAGACGAGGTAGGAGCTCCCTGTTCTCTGCAGTCACTCGCTCTCCCCATGGCCAGTGGTCATCCTGGCTTATGTTATTTTACTGCTACCTGAGCTCATTCACTTGTTTATACGATCTTACTGCCCTTTCTATATATTTGAGTTTATAACCTTTACACAAATTCTCAATGTCTAGGGTACCTCTCTTTCCC